ATATACACACACACACACACACACATATATATATATATATATATGCTTATGTGTGTGTGTGCGCGGCATGTATGTATTTGTTTATATATGTACTTGCGATAGATTCCTTCAAGGACAGGTACACCACATATATACACGCGCGTTCTACACTACTTACGTCGTATAGTTTTGCCACGAATGAGTAGTCAGCCTTTGTTGACTCTCTTTGAAGGTTCTGCTTTTTTTTTCGGCGTTCCGCTGAGCTTCCATCCCCCGGCCGCATTCACTGCCTTGATTCCGAGGCACTTTTTGGTGTCCACAATGTCCTCATCGTTCGATTCTTCGTCGGAGCTCCGTATATCCACCTCTGCCTTACGCACTTCTTTCTCCTTGTGAACGTCTGGGACTACTTTATCTGGGACTAAATTGGACATGGTGGATTTTAACAAGCAGTATACATGCACAAAACCACTAGTCAAAAATTTCTGATGCTCCTCAGCGATAGGCCAACGGTATCTAGACTAGACCGGTCACGTACTGCAAATATTTCAATCAGTATAGGTATGAACCAGAAGAGCCCAGATAGAAGATTTCATAGCCGTTGGCCAACGATATATATACTAGACCGGTCATATACTGCAAATATTTCAATCCGTATAGGTATGAACCAGAAGAGCCCAGATAGAAGGTTCCTTCGCCGTTGGCCAAAATGTGCCAAACTGAGTATAATCAGCCCGTCAAAGCATGTACATTTTTCCAATGTTCACAAGATAATATTGGAATACCATGCATTTTTACTATTAAATTTGTTCTAGCATCAGTAGCATGGGCACATAGTATGATTTTTTTTGGAAGGAGAACAGGAGTAAATTGAATTCTTCTGTCAGCTTTGCACAATTCACAATGTTGAAGAAGACATTGCATGAATTTTTTTTGGAAGGAGAACAGGAGTAAATTGAATTCTTCTGTCAGCTTTGCACAATGCACAATGTTGGAAGTGAATGTAAAAGTATTTTCTATTTCGATTCGTGGGACTTCAAGACTTGTGGACTTGTGGTCTTTTCACTCAGCTTTCTAGTTCTTTTACTACTCTTAGCTCTTTTTTAAAAACAAATCCATATATAAAGCAAAACAAAAAAATTAACAAATGTTAGATGTTCCATAAATCGTAATCCATACTATACACATACAGAGAGTCTATCATTGGTCTCTGAAGTCACTCCTAACTCTAGAGAGTGAGAGGAAGTCGATCAATCGTGATTCGTGAAGTACTGAAGTCCAATACAATGAAATACATACTGTATAAATTATTATATAGTTATTTTGAAACAAAAGTACATCCATATTGATATAACCTACACTAGAGGCTTCTACCGCTATGTACGGCTAAATACCGTTATTCAAGCTTGATTAGACGTTCAACGTTTATCGTTTAACGGGTCATTTTATTTTTGCCTAGCAACGTATATATGATTATATGTACTGAATTTGGCCCAACATTTTCGATAACAGCGCTCATCTAGTGGACCATATTTATATCTTTTGGCTTCAAAACAAGGTACATAGAACCAAATTACCATTATATCTGAAAGACTGAGACTATTAGCCAACCAGTGCCAAAATGTTAGGGCAAAATTAAGCTCCGTGCTTGACCTGGAATTTGTCACCACTCAAATATACTTGACCCTAACGTTTTAAACGTTATGAGGTTTCAGGTTAGCCGGGGCTGCAGCTGGGGAAAACACCAAATAGCAAAAATAAAATTGTACTCGAGAAAATCAAAATCAAAATCAGGGGCTGCGCCGCTATGTACGAGCTATTAAAAATATATTTTGTTAAAAAATATATTTCAATTGCGGACGAGCTATTTTGAAAAACAATGAATAATGAGAGTAAATAGAGAACACTTGTTGTTTTGGAAATATTTATAAAAAACAAAAACAAAACAAAAAAATGAATACATCCTTAAAAACAGTGTAACACTGCCTTAATGAATTCATGATAACAGTGATAACTGATAACGCTGAAAACAGTAAATATGGAGCCAATTGGCAATTACTATTACTCTATTAGCCATAGCCCATACATAGCCCATAAATATTCATGAGAGCATGAGAGGTCTTTGCCCTGATGAGTGCTACTACTCTAATCTATGTACACTTCTTGTATCATACAGAACACACTACATAGAGAGAGGGAGAAGAAAATCTCAAATCAGGGTATGAGGCGATTTTGCGAATAGCAGTTATAAAATACCGGTTTCGAAATATCCAATCAAAAGTTTACTACGTGTCCTGACTTTCTAAAAAAGGTTTGTATGCACCAGCTGAGCTAGCTCAGCTTGAGCTTATGCCTGATGGCCTTATATGAGTTATGAGGTATGAGCTAGTAGAGGTGCCCTTTCTATACCTTTTGTATAAAAGTATATCCTGCAACCTAGCTGCTGCTGGCAATGCATTTATTATTTTGTGCAACGAATATTTAGATGTTAGCTCACTCAGCTGACAGAAGAAATCTACTCCTGTTCACCTTCCAAAAAAAAAACACTTACAATATGCCCAATTACCCATTAGGGAAAACAAAATTCAAAATTCAAAAAACATACACGGTATTCAGTATTCACGCCTAATAAGTAGTAAATTCGTGTCATTTTTAAAAGTTTGGGACGCTGCGTATATATATAGGACACAGACCCCTGCCATATTTACAATCGAAACTTCTTGAATAATGACAAAATAAAATACACTTGCAACGTCTTGAATATATCACACGTTATGATGTACCACGTTGGCCAACAATACAACACTTACGGGAATCCGCTGAAGAACCTGGTTAAGCGCACGTCGATACTCAGACCATTTGATCATCACACCAATATAATCAGCATAGACTGTCTGGACAGTGAAGACTGCACCATCAATCCATTGAATTCGCTCTCACACACAAGCATATACAACGGCACATCACAGTCACAGGCGGAACTGTGGAGACCGTCCGTGAATGCTCGTGGCCCAGAGGTAGATCCCAAGGTACTAATCGACACACTAAAGTTCTATCCTGGCTACAGAGGATATTCTCTAGCGGGTAATGTGAAGAGCAAGAAAGCAGTTGAAGGCTACTCTGTCAAGATCCAGCGCCGTACGGCCATCCTCGTGAGTGCCGATGAGTATGGATTGATCATTCTGTCAAATGACGATGCGAGTTTGCAGTACAGGATAAATTGGTCTCTGATAGCTGACGTTGATCATGTACACACAGATGATATATCCACGCCGCTTCGCAAGCGGAAGCGCACTAATTATCTTGCACTACGATTGAAGGATGGCTCGGTGTACGTGATCAATTCACTACAAACGCCTGAACTGTTCAGGTTAGTAGACAAATACATTCCAACAAGTTCAAAATGTAGGGTCAAAGCAAGTAAATAAATAAAAATTTCAAATAAAAAAAGTAACCATATTTACATTATATCGGTGAAACCGTCCAAAATACGGCATTTTCTGTTCTAGGCCGGTGTTTGTTTCATATTTATAGGCTGCAGCTACATATTTGGATGCACATAGCGGCTCCTGGGGGCTTCTCATGTACTATTATAATATATTTGTTCTTTTGGCGTGTATAGTTGCCTACAGCGAAAGATTTCCCGGTAGTAGACCAGAAGCATACCATATATACATATTTGAATATCGTTTCATATATTCCAATGACATGGACGAACATACGTACCAATATATACAACATATTTTTATATACAAAAGGTACACACTAAATCGGGACAGGCTGTCTTCTCGGATCAATATCTCACCAAATATTGTCACGAATGAGTACCAAAATATTTGCTATGTCGGTTTTTAAAACGTGTTGTTTAGTGTAAATAGCGGACTCTCGTTTCAAGGCAAATAAAAACACATGTTATTAAACTGTTGTAGCCTGTTCAGTGTTCTAGTTTTCCTTTTTAATTTCGACTCTAAATTTTCGGTCGTAAAACTGATGCTGACCACTTGCGTTTTTGGTGATATAGTTTTTCGTGTTGTCAATTCTATTATACGTTTATTGTTTGTCACAAGCCAGACACTGCCTAACAGAATTGTAAAATGCGGGTCTGGCGGTATTGCATTCACCGCTCTATAGGAATGCTATTGGCACCACTGAGAATCCGGTATAATGACGTTGAAAATGGCCCTCTTGCTCAATTTACGATATTCGCTACCCAAATCCAGAGGGCCATTTCTGTAGAGTGTAAAGCCAATCTAACTATCAAAACAAATATTAACTACAAATAAGATGCACAGTAAAACCATGGCAGAAAAGCGTCGCTGAGATATTATTGGGTTTCATTTAAACCATAAAAGCTTGTCGCTTTTATCGACCTCCAGATTGTTTGTCGATGTGAAAAACTGATCTATGTTTTAATTGCCTGTACTTTATATTGACGTTTGTAATGGTCAATTAATATACTGTGGAAACCGCCACAGTAATTTCCTCCACACCTTCAACCAGAATAAAAGGAGTAACTGCAATGCTTTGGATCGAAGACAAAGCTTCACTTGTTTTGTATATATCTATTACCATATAATCCTCAGTATTCAATATTCGAATAAACAGACAAGGCAAAGTGCGTCATGAGTAACTCACACCACTACCACACATACATTATATCGCTCTCATTCTGTAAACAAAACAGCAAGGATCACCTCTAGTGTGTATGCCCCTGTCGGACTGGTGGTGTGGTCCGGCACCGCCGCGTGCAAGTACCCTCACAAACTACGACTCAAGACAACACAACACTCGTTAGTAGAGACACGTAGCTTTCCATCAACAACTTCCCATCCATGATCAATACATATAGTGGAGAGGCCGATACCTATATTACCAGACAAATCGGATTGGAGAGCGGTGATGACTCCGAAGTCCCCATACGCATCATACAGCTCCGGAGTTCCAGTCATCGTCTCAATATCAACGTGTTTAGGATTTTAGTTATCTTGCTGATAATGCTGAGGGTATGAACATCGACGGACTTGAATGCTCCGAATCAGATCATCCGGGCTGTGCCGAGTATCAGAAAATACCTTTGATGATGCGAACCTGTTTCCTCCAAAGTCGCGAATAATCCCATTAAAAGATAGGTACAATATGCTATGTTGCCGGATATCCAAACATGAATTCTGATGGCGGTTACACAATTGGCGTAACTCATTCGTACACCGGCATTAACTTAGATAAACTTAGATGGAATATTGGTACATACCAAGACAAATGTTCACCCCGAAGTTTGACATAAGTTGTACAATTAGAATGGGATGCATGCACGTGTGTCGGATATACACATCAAGAAGCGTTACTAATAGCAACGTCGAGAAGCTATCTTATGCCAACACGCGGTTATAAAATTAAGTACTGAATAAAAATTAAACGTCGATTGAGGATCTCAGCGTCTATGACCAAGCACCACTCTAATTGATATCCTGCACCATTTTCTCCATTCGAATATTTATTGCCTACTTCATCTTGATTGTACCAGCTTCGACGGCCTGCAGAGAATTGAGACAAAATGTATTCATACGTAATATAATACGAGGTAATTACTGCCAGATGCGCCTAGGCAGGCGTTCACGTTCGATTGATTACATTTTTCACCTCCAATACGTAAACGTTGTATGATATATAAGCTTTGATCTGAGGATCGAAATGACGTATATCAGAGCACTTGATAGGAAGATTCTGCCAGTAGTAGGGATATTGTGGACAATTATTGTGATAGTGAATCGCTACAAACGAGTGCCGACACAGCTGGGGTACGCTGGAGAATCAGAGATAAACCAATTCATGTGCAATCGTTACATAGGGATACCAGTGCGTGAGCAAGCGATCTCAGAATCTACCTCGGATATGACGACTGAGTACACGAACGATAGATTTTGAAGACACTCTGCGGGTGCTGCATTCGATACATTCGGATTATATTGAACGAAACAATCGCCCTGCACCATCGAGACACCAACTTAACGTAAGACGGGGCTAGATGGGAAAGCATGGACGGCAATACCAGATAGACATGAAAATCACACACACCTCTACACGGACACAAACGACCGAACACACATACACATACATGCACGCATGTCCCTCTGACGCACTCTTTTCGGTACCCAACAGACCCGACATCGGTATTCCGATCAATTACCAAGCAAGTTAGTACGAGTAAAGGGACTTATATACACGTATTCAGCCTATTGACACTATATGAAGGTCCAACCCGATCTGCCTCTACAATTAAACTGAGGAACACACCTTCATAATACGCAGTTCCTTGTCAATCTTCTTCTGGTTCCTTTCCTCGTACATCTGCTTGTTTTTCAGTATCCGCTCGACCACCATTTCTGCGTGCAACTCGCTGCCACTCTGCACAGTCTCCACTGTACCTTTCTCCCTACAATGATCATACCACGCGTAGAGCATTGTACATGTGTCAGATAGTTACTCTGATGCATGCAACTCACTGCCACTCTTAAGTTGCACATGTCTCTGCTAGTTATCCTGGCATAAGCTGAGCGCTCTATTTCACATACTCGCATCATATCAAGAATCAACACGCATTTGCTAAATAAGGCTACTCCAGTATGTACACTCCAATATACGGGCTTGCATTAATCAAACCTCATCTATGTACGTGTATGATCGCACATAGTGTACAACCGCCAGTGGTTCTGCAGTGTAACGACTGTTACTGTACCCATCTCAGTCGGGCACCGTGTCTCCATGCCCTCTCCCACAACCATCGAACCGTAACATTATACAGGGTTATCTTATCGTAACATCATACAGGGTTGTTTTATCGTAACACAGAGTTATCTTATCGTAACATCATACAGGGTTGTCATATCGTAACATCATACAGGGTTATCTTATCGTAACATCAAACAGGGCTCTCTGTTTACCATACCTGGCTACTTTGAATATATCCACGCCCTGGTCTTTCTTAGCCACAGGTCGTTCCCCGTGCACCACCACGTCCACGTGGAAGTGCTCCAGCAGTTCAGGCGTCAACTCCATTGGCGCGCCTGGTTCCAAGTAGGTAGGAATGAGCACTCCCATAGTTTCATAGGCATGTTATTAAGGTTCGGTACAATAGGAGACCGCTGATGTATTATTTACTACAGTTTGCATATAGTCATATAGACACCCACATGTCAGTGGTTTATCTACTCGACTCTGAGCGAGTTATTAAGACGCTAGTGAGAGCCTTCCTATTCATCCACTTCTGATCCGTGGTCAGTCAAACCAACATACACATCCCATCACCCACACGTGTATACAAACACGTGCACACATACTCACAAGCATGCGCACACCTACCGATAACTACATTGTCCACGTGGCGATTAGCTAGGACCGATAGTGTCCTCTCGTGCAGGTTCATTATGGGCCAGTTGGAGCCCTTCCAGGCGTTCACCTCCAGATCGGTGTACAGCCCCACAATCAGATAGTCGCCCTTGGCTTTGGCTGCTTCCAGAAAGTCACAGTGTCCGGCATCTGTGGCAGAAATGGGGGGAATACACGTGGAGTTTGTTGGCAGGAATTCGGTATGTAAAAAGAAACGGATGATCGAATAGTCACATTCGGGTGCCCTAGAACTGCAGCGCGCATACCCAAAGATATGGATAACGTATGCAACGAAGATATGGATTACGTATATAATGAATATATGGATTATGTATATATTGAAGATATGGATTACGTATGTAATGAATATATGGATTACGTATATAATGAAGATATGGATTACGTATATAATGGATATATGGATTACGTATATATTGAAGATATGGATTGCGTATATACTGGATATATGGATTACGTATATAATGAAAATAGGGATACGTATATAATGAAGATACTACTCATGCATGGCGTAAGGGGCTGCGTTCATGTGTTGTAATGCTTATCGCACACATAAATACGCAGGCTGTGGTCATATGGCATATATCTGCACGTCACATACATACACATACATACACTGAGCACGAGATACCCACGGATACCCCCCCCACGCCCGTAAATGCACACACATATGAGTTGGAAACAAGACGCGCAGGCCTATCCACGCATTTCACAACAGGACCGGCGCTATTACTACCCGTTTAAACCCCGTTATACGTGGTTACAAGCTGCTCAGAGCGGCATTGATATAAATAAGATATAAATAAAACTAGGCCTGACGATCACACTTGTCATGGTGCACGGGAAGCAGCCTATATCTTATATGCTGTCGAAATATTTGGACTGCATGATCCAAATACACTCACACACTGATATGTACATATACTATCAAAATGATATATATACAGATATACATATATACCTAAATCCAAATGATATGTGTACTTATAGTCAAATGATGTACATATACTTATAGTCAAATGATGTATATATTCATACATCGAAATGATATATATATAAACTTATATTCAATTGATATAAGTATACTTATATAGAAATGCTATACATATATCCAAATGATATACGCATTCTTAAAATTTTAAATGATATACGCATACTTATTTTCAATATACATATACTTACATCCGAATGATACACATAAACTTATATCCAAATGATATCACATATACTTCTATTCAAATGATATACATATACTTATATAGAAGTGATCCAAATACACGTATGACATAAATAAAGACTGAATGTGTTTAATGGTTGTATGTTGGGGGGTGCGGCAAACTAATTTCAACTTACGGAATAGATCGAACGTTCCTGACACGTACACCACCTTGTCTCCGGGCTGTGCAGCGTTGAAAAAGCGGAGGGATATGGTGTAAGCAAAACGAGCCTCAACTTATTTCCGTAAGTCAATAGAAGTATAGAGAGATACATGTGGTTGGTGTGAGCTGAAGTAACATCCCAGACGAACAGATGAGTTAAAGGGTGTATGAGCTGTCAACCCTGGAGATAACAAGCATAATTTAGACATGGTATATATATATATATATATAAACATAAACATCAACTTCAACATAAACATCAGCATATATATATACATATATACATATATACGAGAAAGGATTTGGGTAAAGGGCAAAAGTGTCAACACAAAAATCTGGTGACTACAGTCTCAATGAATATTGTTTTTCGTGCCATTTGAATCGGGGTATAGATTTACTGGATTGAACCTTGATCGCGTCTAGATGAAATTTTGAATTGAGACTTGTCGCGATTTCAGATCGTCAGAAAACTCCGACCCAGAATACATACACGATGCAGGCTAAACCGAGCAGCGGATCAATGATAGATGAGCTTGCATAGTGTCTTCGGCTTGATTATTGAATTTTCTGCTTTGTATTTGAGAATATCCACATACGCACGAATAGGTATCAACCTTTTGTTCACTTCAGATTACGATCATGCTGCATACCTTTGGCTCCGTTCCCGATGAAAATTGAACGATCTTCTGTGATGTCTGCAAGAATTGGGTGACACCTGTGTAGGGACTCCCTTTAACCGCACCCTGTGCCAGATTTGAGACAATCAATACCACAATAGACGGCCAGACTTGGGATGATTATTATACAATTGAGTTCGACGGATAAAGGTAAAACAAATAGGAATATCGAGTAGCTGTACTGATATAGGGCTTCATGTTCCACACAGCATTTGGACCAGGGAGACTCGTGTAATACCGATATGGATATCAGAGTTTGCGTGCACATACATTAAACACATTCACAGACAGCTGCCATACCTGGGCATGTTTATACATATCCTCGATATGGGAGGGGGCTTCACCGTCTTGCGGTCGATCGAAGTGAGTCTTTGTCAAAAGCAGCATGCGCCCTACTAGATCCGTTGTACTGACCCCCTGAGTCCTTTGGCATTCTCTATCGAGGTTTACAAGTGCAAAAAAAAAGAAGATATGAACACACACACGCAACGATAGTAATACTGACTCACAGACAGATAGCTGTTGAGCTGCTGTGATATTGATATGGCTCATACTACGGGGGATACTGTTCTCAAGACAGACCACCAACACCGGGATTCACACCCCCGGAGCAGTAGACACAGGACTTCACTGAGAAGTAATCATTTCAGGTTCGGGAGAACGGGTTTGGTTTACAAGCAATTCACAAATGTGTGCCTACACGAATACACGCACACGCACATATATATATATAGATATATATTGGTATAGATACATATATATAAATATATATGTATATATATATACCTGCAGAGCTAGTATACATAACCTGATGTTTACTCATACCTCAGTCTTATACATTGAAGGTACCACCAAACATGCACATGCCAGCACAAATCTATGCTCATACCCCAATTAAACACACATATACAGAAGCCAGCTAGCTTACCTGTATCTACCAGCGTCCTTGATTTCCTGATAGCAATCGTTCCCGTCCGCATCTGAGTACAATAAGAAATGAGCACGAGACGCGATGAAACGAGCTCCCCCATAGCAAAAGTCCACTCTAAAACGTAAGTGCATGCCCAGGACCAAAATTCATCCTGGAGAATATTGCTCTATCGTACGCTACCCCAATTTTAAACCGACGAGTGCTTGTGCTACGCGAGCATGTTACCATATGGCAATACACTTCCCTTCAGCGTACGTATATGAGCATAAAAATACCGCCGAGTGTTTGAGCTACGCTGGAGTATATGACTATATACTTCTATTTGGATGAGTAAATGTACACAGGATACCCACCACAGGTGATGTCGTTTCCGTGGACTACGAAGTCGATGTTCTCCTTGTCCATCATAGCCAGCTGCGTGACGTACGGCGCACCCTCGTACACCTCATCAACCCATTTGCACGCACGTACCATTTTGTATCTGGGCAATTGAGTGTGTTATGGGGGATAGTTCTGAGTGCGGTCTAGGTGCTTGTCAGGTTGGGGATGAGCATACAGAGTAGTATCAAGCATTGGTCGAGTACGAAAGACTAGCTACCGCTTGCGAGTCTACAACGTACATGGATGAATTGCGTCTGTGACAGCTGCTGTGATGGCTTGTCATCTGAACGATTTTTGAATCGCAACACTGAAAACCCATCCCAAACTCAAAAAATTGAATATATGTTCCCTCTCACACACGAAGTCGATGTGTGAGCGTCTAAAGATCATGGCTAGCCTATGTATTGAGTGTTGACAATATGTGAGTTGCTGTACCGTGTGTATGTATGATAGATACATCCGCATGGGAACGATTCTGTGTTTCTGCGCACCCCTCCGACGAAAGTTAGTTCGTCTCTGATGTTCCAAGACACAAAGAACTCTGTAGTGAGACGCGAAATAGACCTCACCTTTCCTCCTGTGTAGCCACAGTAGGTCCTTTATTTTTCATAATGTCCTCGTCTGTGTGCACACCCACAATCAAGTAGTCGCTCATGGCCTTCGCTTGTCGCAGCGAATTGGCGTGTCCAAAGTGCATCATGTCATAGCTGGGTGAAGAACGAATAAAAGTGAACATAAGCACCAAATAGATCTGTGTGTGTGCTTGTATCGAACATGTACAAGTTTTTAGACGCGTATAGATGAGACAACCCAACACAAATTTTTAACGTGCACCCAGACCAATACACAGACACAGACACAGACACAGACATATATATATACATAAATATATAAAAAATAACATGCATTAACACACACATAGACACAAACAAACATAAATACATACATCTAAGCATATATATATATATATATATATACATATATATATATATTTATACATATATATATATATATATATATATATATACATATATATATATATATATATATATGGCTATGGAGATGGAATAGATATGGGTCTGTATTCAAATATAGAGTTAGATACGGCCATATAAGTTTATATACATGTACAAGTATAATTATGATCAGAAACATATGTATGAGTGTATACACATACAAATATATCTATACATATATATATATAATAGAGATGCACACAATCACAATCACAAACACACACACACACACATATATATATATATACTTTAAGATATATTTAATATATACATATATATATTAAGACATATTTAATATATACATATATATAAATATTTGGGTATGGGTATGGATATGGGTTGTGATTCAGATATAGAGATAGATACGGACATATATGTAAATATACATGTATGAGTATAATTATAGTTATAATTACAGGTATAAGTGCATACAAAACAAAGATATAGATATAGATAAAGGTATATATATATATATATATATATATAAACATATATATATATAAAGATATCTTATATATATACATATATGGGTACGGATATGGAAATGAATATGGGGTTCGATTCAGATATAGATATAGATACGGACATATATGTAAATATACATGTATAAGTATAATCACAGGTATAAGTGCATACAAAACAAAGATATAGATATAGATATAGGTATATATAT